AAGCTCTGGTTATCCGGGACTCTTTAGCACAGAGGCTGGTCTTCTAGACTTTAGACGTTTTGGYGCAGATACTTCTTCAGTTCGTCTTCTAGCTCTGGATTGTTTCATAAAACTTTTTCAAGTTTATTATTAGCTTTAAAAATAAAGCTAACAGGCCGTTTACCAAACGCTTATTCGGGTAAACATTTACCAAGTAATACTACCTCACTGCATGAATATGGTAAAGATCAAGAATCTTACCCGGTAAGAGCGAGACAAGGACCAAGAGTCTTACCCGGTAAGTGAGGGCGATGACTCTTACCACGTTAAGCGCTTATCGGGTAAATTGTTTCATACAATGTCGTTTTGATGGACTAAAATCTTACCCGATAAATAAGTAATAGAGTTAAATTTTACCAGTAAGCACTTACCGGGTAAATATTTGGTAAACGGCCCTAAGGCTATATACAAGTAGATTATATATTAAAAACTAAAAAATAAATCGTTAAAAAGATAAAAATAATTAAAATTATAATTAGTTACCTTTTCTTTTATTAGTACTTCTAATATAGAAGTAACTTGAAGACATCATCTTTTATCATCTTATGTATGTACTTGTGGCATGATTTAGAGGTAAATCCAGATATTTTTTCAAGTGGTTGCACCATTTGACTGTAAGGATGAAAACTATAATACTTTCTTTACAAAAATAATAATAGATCTCCTGGTTAGTTGCTTGCATTTGCAAGTAAAGGTCATAGGTTCAAACCCATCCATAGCCATTTTACCCCGAATCTGTTAAAAAATAACAAAAGCTATAGAAACACGTATAATTAAGAGCTGAAAGATAAGAAATTTGCTCAATGCAGGAGACCCACACCCTTCCAAACATGAAACTTAAACCAGCTTGGCCAACACAAAGTTTTATCATAATAAGTTTAGTTTTGAGAAATATAGAGGTGTGCAACGAAACATGGTGGCACCCTTGAGGAGCATAATTTTTTTCCACCAGGACAGAACCACGAATTGGTCCCACATAGGTCCACCCCTAGTGATTGCACACACTTCAATGTTAATATACTACTTTTTTCACATGTCAGTTGGGGGGTCTTCATTGAAAAAGCCTCTTTACCCTTTGGAAGGGTAGGGACCATACATCCTACCTTTATTGGGACATACCGAGTTGGTTTGGTTTATAGTTTGTCAATCTTGTTTCATGCAGGAACGTTGAGACGTCAAGGCAACAAAAGCAATGGTGGTATCTCGCTCATATGTGTTGTTCTTAACGGTTTACTCGGTCTGCTCTTAGGGTATTTTCTGAAATAGGGTAAACCCATAGTCAATTTTGTCTCTTTATCAAATCCAACTCCATGAAAGAGATGAAAATGGAGTGATGAGAAAAGTCTCAAACAGAGTTTGTGTTACGTTAGCTGTCTTGTTTGGTGCTAGAAGAGGATATGCTCAAAATGGGTATTATTCTTAATGTTCTGTAATTTGTCCTAATCAAGTCTTAAAACTTTCTTTTTATGGTAATTTAAGGAGCTTTTGTTTCTTTGTTGGTCTCTTCAGTTGGTGGATGGCGGGGTACTGGTGGCTAACTACGGTGATGTATGGA